AGTACAAGGAATATGGATATATCCAAATTTACCGCTTTATTATCCGTGCCACTTAAGAAGACATCCTTGACTTCCGCTTTACCGAATCGTTCGATAATATTTTGAAAGTAGATAAAATCCTCCAAACGTTTTCGTTCATGTTCAGCGAGCTAAGATGAAGCAAACTTTCAAAAAGAAAAAAGAAGAAATACCACTACCAATTTCCTTCTAAAGTTTCAAATTAGGAAACTGAATTACAAACTCTTATCAAAACCTATCTCTCATCAAAATTTATCTCTTATCAAAACTTATATCACTGAGTTATTTTACCTATATACACCACAGAAATCTTACAACGACTAATAAAATCTAGATTCCGCACGACGCTCCGAATCCCACTGAGAAGCGATTGTGTGTCAACATAGCCATATCGTGCTTGCACAGTTCCAGTTTTCTCTTCCTCCCACCCCCTTTCCCCATTTCAGTATTTGTCATGAACCACCTTCTAAAACCTCAGTTACCAGCTAAGTAATCATGTTCTTCTACACGATTACAACTCAGCAAAACGCAACACCTATCCACTTTCGGACAGCAAGCAGTGTCCACTCCCCAATGAATTTTGTTTTTCTTTTTAATTGAAACGGCATCTTTCGTATCATCTTTTAATCAAAAAGATCTCTAATGCACATGCTCGTAGAAAATTATGATGGATCTTGTTGACTTCTGTTTCCAAACCTATTATTTCCACCATACATTGAGATTCTATGGTACAGATGACGATCGATAACTGGATATAGCATCATAATAACATAAACCTGCAAAACAACAAAAAAAATCATTTGACCCAACTTACCTCTTTCTTCATTCCATCATCCCGCTGTTTCACGCCACGAAGGTATTCCTTTTGCAGTGTCTGCAAGACCCTGCTGATATCTTTCAGAAACTCTAGCTGTGTATCGACTTCTCCGATACAATACCGAGCTTCGATCTGTTGCTCACTAAGTTTTTTACCGTCTTTCAAATCCGCCTCGTATTGCAACAAACGGTTCTGAAATGTCATGCGGTGAAGATTGGCTGTAAAAGTGTCCAAATGACAGCGCTTAAAAGTTTATTAACGATATGAGTCAACGGAACATGAGATTTCCGAAAGAAACAATGAAAAGAATGAATAAATTATAACTCTTGTAGTGAAAGAAAAGTCTTCTCGAGTGCAATTTCGCACAATTTTAACACTGGATTACTCGTAGTATGCACCTTACGCTTTTCCAGGTTTCGACGTCGTTTGTCGAATGCAAACTGAATACCTGAATAAGGATTTGACAAGATGTTATCAGTGATGCTCTGGCTGCTTTCCGGTCCCTTCATGCCTGGAACAAGATTTTCTGAAACATCACAAAACAGCGAAACATTTCATAAAGCTGATTGCTCAGAACACGATATACTTCCCAACCAAAGATCGATTATAATCATATTTCTTTCTCACTGAAAGCCATATACAATTTCAACAAAAGTTATTAAAAATCATTCGTAAAGATAACCCCTTTTCAGGATATAAGAGTTGAAAAACTTTACGTCATAAATTGATTCCACGAAGGAAAGAAGTGTGTTATTCCTTCCACTTATTCCTGCTCTTCATAGATTCATCACATCCCAACTATCTTACACTCACTTTATCTGATTTGGTTTTTTTTTTCAAATCTTAAATTCCCAAAAGTGTTTTGGATTTAAGTTGATGATAAAACTTTCCTTCAAAATTTTATTACTTCCTAAATAGAAACCAGTTCTTTCTCACTAGCAAAACAATGACGAACGGCGACTCTGCACGATAAAGTGTTCTTCGAAGTAGAGTCGGAATCGAAGAAGAGGAAAAGAAAAATGAAAAGGAAAACCAAAATACCAGTAATGGACAAGTCCGAGACAGCCGAGTGGAACAGCGCCATGTCACGCCAGGAGAAGAAACGAGAACCAACCGCTTTCAAGTCAGACATTGAGGAGTAATGAATGTCTAAGGGTGAGTAGGCAGGCTAAGAAAACGGGCGATTTGAGAGGAAATGGTGAGATAAAAATTTGCATAAATTTACAAAAATGAGATCCGAAAACTGTAATGCGTGCTTTTCTCTCACTTCTTTGCTCCGAGCCCGTTGCTATGCTCAACAAATATGAGAGACATAAACACAGCAGGCTCAGGAAGGTTTAATCAAAGGTACCTGATTTAATGCCTGAAATCTGAAAAACAGCGAAAACCGGATAAATTAGAATCACAAGAAGATATCACAGACAGCTGAAGGAATGTCCAAATTTTAACAGAAGAACCAGAATATATGTACAATTCCGAAAAAATATATAATTCGAAATATATACTATTTTTCAAAATATATAATTCTGACAGCTTTTGTACATGAGAGATGTGAACCGGTTTGGGTAGACCTAAACTGACTTTCATCTGTTTTCCTATCAAAGATTAGAAAATGGAACTTGAGTTATTCCGAAATGCTCAGGATCTGGTTGTTGAAGTACCTGATAGCGATCCACAATAATGGATACATTAACCATCAAGGACAAATAAATATCGAGGACTGTAGGACTGATTACTCTCATTTCTCTCCTGATCGATTATCAATAACCAAAACAGACTGAGCTGTTTTCTCCTTTCTCCCACGACCCCTGACCCCGAAATCGTCAATACACCCCATCCGAACTAAGCCACTAAATTACTCCACCCCCACTGGAAACACTCCACGCCCAACTGACGATCAGCAACGTTGAATTATGAAATGGTCGCGAAGTGCAACGGAGTCATCCACCGTCAGGGCAAAATTTAAGCCATAGTAGAGCTCGAATTCCGATTTGACAGATTTGAATGCTTGATTAGTCTTAATCTAGTTTATATTCTAGTAGTCAATTAGAAATTGAGGTCAAAAATTAAGATTCACCTAAAGTTTAAAAAATTACTTTCAACAAATAGTCGAAATTTACTGAATCATTCCTAATCAGCAGCAACGGAAAACAAGAAGCTACGCAATTTCCATAATAGAGACATAAATGGTAAGCTATCCTTCAGCAAGTGATTCCCACAAAAAGTTTATCTCTAAATTGGTTTTTCGACGAAAATAAAATTTGAAATTTCTTTCCAAAGAAAGAAACCCTTATGAGTGTTAGTTCCTTTCCGGAACCCGTTCCGGAAACACGAATACTTACTCAAGTCATGGAGGCAAATTCAGTTAACGATAATCCGATCACATTGAAAGTGGCGCTCTAGGAACCAATGATGGAGACGGTAATCACGGAGGCGGCAATTTAAACAAGACCAATCATAAGTTCATAAACTATAAACGACTTTCTACCTGTTAGGCTATTTCATCTAAAATATTTATTCTTTCTTAAAGTTGTTAAATCACATAATACTACATATGGCGATTGAACTAATCACTTTTTGAGAAAAAACAGAGAGGTGCGAGGAAGCGGGATAGTGAAGGGGATCGAGAAAAGAGAGGAGAGAGGAAATTTTCATTACTCACCAAACTTCCTAGAAATATCTTTAATGAAAATATATCCTGAGAAAAAAGACTACTTTTTCCATAGTTTACGCTCTTTTGAGAAGTAGCTGTTAACCTTGCTGTTCTTAAAGTTTGAAGTTCATAACGTACGAAGAAGTTACTTCGTATGCTACCGTTCCAGAGTTCAAAGTTCAGACCTTCAATCTACATCCGTGCTATTTTCTGCTTGTCCACTTATGCCATTCAATTCATTGTAGAATATCCTGCCTTTTGTTTATAATTTTTTTATAAGAATTTTTCATTTTTATAAATCACGCCTACACGCCTACACGTGTATCATATTTATACATATAATCACAATCTTACGTATCAACCGCACGTTACTTGATCTATACCTAACACTTAAACGTTTAAATTTATATCACATTTACCCACATCCACAAGTACATCATGCACACGTAAACCATACATACACGTACGACAGGAGGATATACACACGAGTGTCTTTCATCTACAGGAAACAGTAGTATGACAACAGAAATCAATCCACTGCAGCGGGTGTGTTTGTGTGTGCGTGTGCACGTATGTACGTGTGTGTCCGTGAGCACGTATGTGAATTCATATGTATGTATATGTGTGTGTGTGTGTGTATGTTTGCAGGTTATTCATATATATATATACATATATATGCATATATGTACGTATGTATGTATGTACGTATGCATGTACATATGTATGAATGGATGGATGTATGTATGTATGTATGTATGTATGTATGTGTGCATATGTGTTCGCGTAGCATCCCACCGGTTGCATACTGGACCAGCAGGCTGCACTTATTGTCTGCTGGTCTAGCAGTGCGCTATTGCTTATGCATAGGGTGCACGTGAGTGTGTATTTCACGCAATCCTTATATTGCACCATCGTACGAGCCATTTAACTTGACGATAATTCCTGTTTGAGGTTTAGGTAATGGTGAAACTTCTGGATATGCGACGTATATGAACAGAATGAATACATGAAGTTCTGAAATTTACTCAATTTTATTTCAGGTTATGGCGATTGTAGACTTTACACTGGTACCATGAAGAGAGCGGAGCGTTTACGAGAGGTTGTTTTGTAAAATTCTATAATCTTTTTATCTAAATGTAAGAAGGATACTTCTGGAACTTTTTTTTTAAACATTAGTTCGATTTCACTTTTTGACTAAAGGGAAAATTGTTATGTTATAATTTATAGTTTAAATGTTTATTATAAGATGTACTCTTGTTTTTCTAACCTGAACGTCTTTTACCGTGGGATAAGAATTAAAATGATCGGGCTGTGTCTAGACATCGTGTATATCTGTTCCAGAACTTTCAAGGAAGATACAAAGACATTGATTAAACGGAATGATTGGTATTATGAGCCAGCAGTTCTCGTGGAACTGTTGATGTACAACACGGTATCCATGCCATTGTTACATCAGGAGATCTACTACGTGGACATGGAGATTCTAGTTTTGATTCGTTACTTCATGCTACTGAATTTAGGTGGAAGAGGCTGATGATGTGGTTGCTGAGAAATGCAAAATTTTGGCTGGTTTATTGAAGAAGTCAAAATGCACTGTCGTATATACGGGAGCCGGAATTAGCACGGTATGATTTCGCCTTTAAAAGAATTCAGTTAAGCTTCCTACCTTGCATAATGGCTTTTTTCTGAGTTGCAAAATTGAAAATCATCGATCGAGTTAAAAAGTATCAAGTAAGTCAGATAGTTTAAAGCGGCGCAAGTAAGTGGTAATAGCTTGCGAAGTACAAATGGATCTTTAAAAAGTAATGTTAAAAATACAAGCTTTCGGATGGTAATTTACTCGTAAATTCATTGGATTAAAGAGGAATCTTTGATGAAATTCCTGGTAACATTCCAGGCAGCATCAATACCAGATTATCGTGGTCCCAATGGTGTTTGGACCTTAGCTGAAAAAGGGATCGTATCTTTGAAGTTTGTTTTTAATTTATTCTACTTTGGTATTTTTGCAGGATCGTTATTATGCATCTCTTCTATACATACAACATCTGCCTAACGTGTTTTATAACTGTAACAGATGGTTTGCCTTGTCGCATGTTGCTTTTGCGTCCGTATTACGTTACCAAAGTTAAAACAGATCCACTCACAATTTCAATTTTAGATGTGCGAACCCAGTGGAATCAGGGCCAACTGCAAGCCATATGATATTGAAAGAGATGTGTCGGAGTGGATTAGTGCGTCACATATTGTCACAGAATTGCGATGGCCTTCATTTGCGTTCAGGCTTACCACAAAAAATGCTTTCTGAAATCCACGGAAATATGCATATTGAAGTATGCCAACATTGTGAGCCACCACGACAGTACATCCGTCCTTTCGATGTCACTGAAAAAAGTCAGTTCAGGTTAGATTTAGCAATATTTTCTTTAAAAAAGTTCATTCATCTCTTAACAGATTTCTTCATACAAACTATGTCTTACTCGTAATTTTTTGTTTAATATTGTGATGAGTGAAATTTTTATAACATGGCATGAACTACTCATTCCTTCGTATACCGTTGCCTTATTTACTTTTTTTAAAATATATTTTTACGCTTAGGAACAAATACATATTTTTGTAATCCGCATAAACTTTTACATGTTAAATTACCTTAGCTAGAGGTATTGTGGGCTAGAAAGCTGATTAAAAAGCTTCTGCATATTCGTTAATTCTGCTAGTTGATATTGAATATCCCTCGCCACTTTAGGCGTCATGGTACTGGCCGCATGTGTCTGGTGTGCAACAATGAATTAGCGGATACAATTGTGCATTTTGGTGAAGCTGGTAAGGTCCCATGGCCGTTAAACTGGAATGGAATCATTTCTTTAATTGATCGATGTGATCTCATTTTGTGTATAGGAACAAGCTTAGCTGTCCTTAAAGAATATCATTTTTTGTGGCCAAAACCAAGGTGTGGTACACAGGTTCGTTGCAGCAATAGTGTTATTGATCTGTGTTGTTCCTACGCCTTTTGTAATCTTGTTTTATGACATTACTATAGGGTTTAGGTAAGAAGTTATACTTTTTACAGATAGCTATTATAAATCTTCAGTGGACACCAAAGGATAGGTTATCCTGTTTAAAAATTAATGCGAAATGCGACATCGTCATGGAAAAGCTGGCCGGCCTTCTCGGGATTCCAATTAATCGTTATTGCAGGTGAATTATTATTTACCTTTAATTCTTGGATACATTTCGAACGAGTTATTGCGGAAAATTTATATTAGTTTATGATGCTATTTTCCTTTGTATCTTTAAATTTATTCCTTTGGTTTTAATACTCGTAGAAACACCGAGATGTTATAGGAACTGTGATCCGGTGCTTAATCCAAAACGGAGTGTACGTGTTTGGGAGTTGAGAGAACGCTTAACGGATTGCACTTGTAGAAACCGTATGTCACGTGCAACTGTTGAACAGCAACCTTCAAAGGGTATTCCTGGTTGGTGGGCATTTGAAATTCAAAAAGCAATAAAGAGATCTTCACAAGGTTAGTTTCTTCAAATCGTTTCTGGTCGTAATTATTTCGAAGATAGTTCGGGAACTCATCGTTGTGTACATCAGTTCAAATTTTTTTAGTATCTCGTGGAAGCTCTGGAAAACGCCATTGCTCAAGCAATTTCCATCGCAGTGGTTCCTCAGATGTTGGTTGTAATTCAGCTTCGGGAAGTTCAGGTAATACAAAAAGCGTCGTAAATAACACGCTCTTGTCGGCAAAAGAACAAAGCAGAGAAACAGTGAATGGCAATGAACTACTACCAAATACCAGTAGGACAAGTCCAGAAATTTCGACAAGCGAAAGTTTTAGTGATTTATCTGAAAACTCCCCTGAAACATCATCTACAGATGGAAATGTTGTGGATCCAGCAGTTGCCGAATGTTTATATGGTATTTTGCTATCGCTTAAGAAGGAACCCAACTCGTTATCAGTAGCTTCAAAGGTGCAAAAAGCGGTACCTAACACCATATTCGTCTGCACATAGATTTCTATCACCAATTATATATAAAGATTTGCTTTTTTTTCATGTGTTCTGTTGCTATTTTCTTTAGTGGTATTTTGAATTTTCGGGATATGATCATTCTTGTTTCTGGTATTTACAGAACAACATATGATCTGGTTATGTATTATTCTTTATGTCGTCATATTTGAAATGTTTCAGCTGAAAAGAGAGATTAACGCAAAGTATTTCGCTTCTCAAATTCTTATGTAAATTTGTTTAATCTGCTTGGTATTATTTTTAATAATTTGTTTCTGGAAGTTTCTATAAATATTCTATTTATTTTTGTAAAATTAATAATATTGGTAGGCTTATTGAATAATTGTTTCAGGATGGCTGGAAAAATTCGTGCGTTTTCTGTCATTTATACTTTTGAAGCTATAGAAAATCCTATTATCATAAAGTAGATTTATGTATACAAGTAACTATTGCATGTACAAAATATGCGTCTTGCGCAAATAGAACGGATATAGCGGAGTCGAATTTATTAACATGACTTAAAAACTTTCGAAGTCTTCGTTAATGTTTACAAAAAAAAATTTTTTTTAATATTTGTCATCATTGTTTACTTTCTTATGCAAATGGATCCAAATTTTCTTCTAATCGTTTTTACTTCCTTTGCATTTGTTTTGTAATAACTAATATCCAGAATTGCTTTTTGCATGGTGTCCTCTTCTTAACATTAATAATCTTTGATTTTGGTGATCGTTATCTATTTTAATATGTTTTGTCCAGTATATTGTTTCTACATGTACAGTCGGCATTTCTTGGGATTAATCATAAAATTGTGTTCCTTTTATTAAATTTTTCGGAAAAAAAACTGAAATTTGATATCTGTAGACAAGTAACGGCTAGCATTATTGCGTTTGACATATCGTAAGAACATTTCGGGTCTCCGAACGATTTAGTTCTTCGTAGGAGGAAGAAATATTGTTATAAAAGCATTGCTAACTTGCATTCAATAAAATGCTTTATATTTCCCTAGCTGCTTGTTAATATGCTTATGATTATCCTACCTGCGAGTAAATGAGAATTAGATAATTCTAATCTTAGAATTTAGCTCTAATTCATTGACTTAAATTATACTTAGAAATATCAAATATCAGAATTGAAGTATTCGTGAGATTTAACTAATCTCAGTTATATCAGATGAAAAATTCCTATTCACTATTATTTTAAACTTTTTGACAGAATGGTTTTAGCCTTATCAAAACGATTAACTTCCATATATCTTCGATATGCAGTAAAACTTAACCTGAAAAAAATCAATACTTTCTGTAGTCAGTAGAATTGGGACCTGATAATTTTACCAAATCACTTGTCCGTCATTCATTAGAAACTTTAATGATAACACCGAACATTTTTCAAATTCCATCAAAGTATAAATATTTTTGGAGGAAAGTAGCAAAACTAAACAGAAGAAAAAAAGGAGTGGTGGATTTGTAATGAATGTATTCGGTTTGTGTTTGTGTACTTAATTGTATTAAGCATAAAAATCTTTTAAAATAAAATGAAGTCGAAAAAAAAAGAAAAAGATTAGTTAAGAATTCATTAAATTTCATCCTTTCTGTTTCTTCTCTCTTCCTCTCCCTCTCTTTCTCTCCCTCTCTCTCTCCCTCTCTCTGTGTTTGTTTCTTTTAAAATATGATAATTGTATAGGAAAAATTCATGCATTATTTGCTTTATCAATAATATCCTATCAAATAAGCATAATCAACAAATTAAATATGCTTCATTGTTAATTGAAGCAATTTTAAATGAAAAAAAAATTATTACAATAACAAGAAGAAATTATTAACTTGCAAAATTTTTACATTTATTATCAGTAATTTGTTAGATTTATTTATCAATGAAATGGAAAAGATCAAAGAATAGAATGGTTTTAAATATGTGAAAAAATTGCGGAAATGAAAGGTTAATTATCAAAAATGTATATGCATCGAATAAGCTAACAACATATTTAACAAATGCAAATAATCATAATTAACATAAAACAAGCACCTGCGGAAAAAAAAAAAAGAAAAAAAAATTGATGTATAAAGAAGCAGTTTTATGCGATGAATTAATTAAATGCATAATGAAAGCAAACGAATGAATTCATAAAATTTAAACTTTAAGGAGTTTTAAGTTTTAACCAACTCCTTTCTCTTTTTTTTCGGTTTTAAAATTAAATAAATTTTGAGGTACAAAAGGGCTTTTATTTAGCCCTTTTTTCTATTCAGAACTTCTTTTTGTTTTTTTTTTTTGAAATAAAAATTGGAAAATAAACATTAGGATACTTCCAATTTAAAATATCCAAAAAATCTTATAATTGTTCACTCAACTTTTGTTGTACCACCAAATCACAAATGTTATCAGTGATAACGATCGGAATGATTTAGGAAAAAGAAAAATGATAGATGACGAAAGTTTTTAAATGAATTATTTGTTTAATTATTCGAATTTTCGAGAAAAAAATGGAGCAATACTTGAAAATCAAATAACGTCAAACTTCAATTAGGAAAAAAAGAAGAAAAAACCAAAACAGAAAATAAACTGTACTAAAAATTAAATTAAATGAAAAGAGAAAAAACCTTAGAGGTAGTACAAATAAAAATTTTTAAAAATTTATTGAATTCAAAATTATCTAATTTAAAAGCTCCTTGAGTGATTTCCAAATAATTCATCGTACTGTTTGAGCAATAAAAATCTTGAATTGAATTTATCAATGATTTTACCGGAATAGGAAATTTTACATCCTACCTCATTCATCCAAATGTTAGATCATATGAGATCTTATTTAAAAAAAAAAATTCAAAAAATCTCAACTAATAATGCTACCATAAATTCATTCATACTTGTGCTTCACGCCTTCCTATTGATGCAGTATGACTGCGAATGTATTGATCCTGTAAATTACCTGAATAATTTGAGTTTGGAAAATAACTGCCAAGAACTTTAAAAAAAATTCAAAGAATGACCAAAAAAAAAAAAAAAAAGTAAGTCAGTATGAGATATTTGATCTTATGAAGAAGAAATGTGATAATCAAAAATTTACAAAATTAATCAATAACTTATCTTTAACTATTGTATACTTTTTATAGAAATTATAATATATTTTTGAAAAATTGAAACATTTACGCATTCTGTTACTGTAATTTACCTCAATTGGTTCTTCGAATGTTGCTGTATGTGAAGAAATGCCACTGTCTCCTGTCGTAGCTTTAATTTTGCTACGTTGCCATTCATCAGGTTTCCTGGTTAGTAATGTTTTACCAGGATGCGTTCTATAACTTGTGTTATAGGTACTTCCCATGTGATATCGATTTCGTAATGTTAACTTTGTTTTATCACGTTTGTTCAATCTATATTAGTTTTTTCAATGATATGATAATGATTTCAAACATATTATGATAATTATTTCATAAAATTTTGAAATTTGAACAAAGCTGCCAATTTTTCAAATTTCCAAAAACAAAAACTAATTTGTCTATATAATTCAGACGTTAAGAAAACATGCTAAATTATATTGTTAATTAATACTTTCGAGATAAACTGATAAAAGATTAACAAAATTAAAAAGTTATGATAACCTAAAAGATAAAAGATTACTAACGTTATAAATGTGATAACAAGTAGAATAATGAAGATTATAGCGATCCCAAGAAGACAGCCAAGTACAATGGTCCAAATACGAAATGCTGATGAGACGAGATTCTGTTGAATTTAAAAAACAAAAAAAAATTAAAATTATCAAATTTAAAAAAAAATAAAATTCATTTAAACATTATAAAAAAAAAATTATTCAATAATTCTTAAAAAAAGTAAAAAAAAATCCTTTCTGAAAGACGAAATTTTAAGAAAAACAAAAAGTAAATAGATATTTTATTAAACAATTTTTAGGATGGAAAAAATTTTAATTCAATGATTGATATAAATGAATTTGTTTATTTTAACAAATCGATTGTTGCACATTTTTTTGATCAGATTTTTTTTTTTTTTTTTTAAACTTACATTTAGCAACTTTTTGTACATTCAAAACTGGATGAATGGCAAAAGTATTAAATTCACAAATCAATTAATTAAAAATTAACTAACATGAATAATTGGAGTAATATTTGGCGTATTACATTTCGTCTGATTTATTGTTAAACCATATGGACATGGTGTGCAATCAAATATCTAAAATAATATCAAATTAAATTTCAAAAAAAAAAAAGTCACTCTTTTTTTTCGTTGTAATTAATGAATAAAATCGTAATTTAATTCGAAATGATTAATATTTACAAAAGTGGATCAAAGTAAGACAGTAATAATAAGTCATAAAAAGAAATGTTAAAATTTAATTGAAAATTTTTGATAATAACTTTTATTGAATTGCTTGCATATTTGCATGAATGATGCATTCCTGTAATAACTGATATACATGCTGCATGCAAATTATTGATTGATGCAGGTGTACATTTCAAATCACAATTTGGACCATAATTATTATCAATACATTGAACATTGTATGCAAGTTGTAAACTGAAATTTGTTATGTTTTAAATTTTGTAATTTGAAAATTTGGAAAGAAATTAAAATTTAAAATTCATTTAACTATCAAATTTCCTGAATGAAAGATGATCAAATTACATTTTATGCTTATTAAAATCTTCATTTTATTTAAAATTTAAGCAAATTTTAAAAATTTTAATATAGCAATATATTTTCGTGATGATGGAATTTTTATTAAAATGTTTAATTGAGGGAATGATTTGTCTTTGATTTTTTCATCCTAAAATTTTTGTTGACATTTTCTTTCTTTTTTTTCATAACAAAATTTTATAACCATAAAATTATTTTTGCAAATTAATAAAAAAGAATTATTGTTTTTTTTTTGGCTCTTAAATAATTTATTAATTTGATGCAAATTTATCAACTCATTGTAATAAATAATGCAAAAATTATTACAAAAAAACTCGATAATTTAACACAAATGACTACATTTACTTTTGTTTAAAAGTATAAATGGTAGTTTTTTTTTTTTTAAATAATGAAATTGAGACAAACGTTGTTCCTAAAATTTGGCCGGAAATTGTTTGTTGTATGATGTTTGGTGTAGTACCATAAGGTGTTGCTTGATAATTATCTAATGAAATAACAAATGTATCAATGGGAATTAAATGATTGAAATATTCCAAATTTCCGGTTGCTTGATTAATTACTACACCAAGATGATGAACAATGATATCGATTGTATTCTGAAATTATTTAAACATTTTATTTTTTCTTATTCCTATCTTTTTTCATTTTTGTAATTTCGAAATATATGGGAATAAACAATTAAAAATTTAATTATTTAAATTTAAATGTCATAAATTTTAAACGACCATTCAATTTGTTTTATTTCTAAAATTTGTTATTGCAAGATTGCAACAATAAAAATAAATTTAAAAAATTTTACAAAACAAATATTTGATTAGTAATTTTTATTTGAGATAAAAAAAAAAAAAAAA